AACACTGGAGTGATACCTGCCCCAGCCAGTGCTACATGCGTCTTCTCGTTTTTATCACAGACACAGATGAAGTGCAGCAGCCAAATTTGCAAAACGTACCACAGGGGAAAAAAAAAATAAAATCTCCATGCTGTGTTCAAGACTGAACAGGATAAGTACTTGTCCACTTTTTTTTTTTTTTTTTGAGGCCCAGGCATCTCTAAAGTACAGTAGCTGTAAAGTAACTCTGTTGTCATGGTGCTCACAAGCCAGATAAGCAAATTAGCCGCTAAGCTCCCGACCACCCTGTGCCAGAGGCGGGCCTCAGGAAGACATTCTGTACTCGGTGGGAAAGTCTTCCTCACTTCACTGCCCTCTGCCTCGTGCAGAACGACGTCTTTGCAGCATGCCTACGTACTTTAGGAAGATACCTTTTCTATTATATTTTAAAGGCATTTAAAAGCTTCATGCTGTCACTCACTATGACTACACTCAGCAGAAAAGTGCTGAGGAGAATTTATGCAGTTCATTAAATGCTTGTTTCCTGCTATTGATGCTGCATCTTGCAGCTGTACTAGCAAATGATTTTCTCATAAAAAGTAGTGAGAAAATGCCTCTCTCTATAACACAAATTCACACAGGAAAATTACACGATGTAACGAAACATTCCCTTGTCCTGGCATGCTTGAGCTGGTATACAGCTGTATTTCAAAGTTTTCAATGGCCTATTACAAATTGGAACCCAGTTACAAAATGGTCTATTACAAATTGGAACTCACTGCAAAAAGAACCAAAAAAAACCAAAAAACCCACCAGCAAACCTGCCTGAAAAATCCACTTCTTTGTGAGCATCTCCTTCTCCTGTATAGGAGAGTTTCAGCTGTAGGCCTGCCCCAAAGCAACAGAGTCCAGGCTCAGAAAGTCCAGGTGATAAGGAAGTGTGAACTGAAAATCCCCAGATGCCCACAAAACATGCCACGGATCAGCTGGGCATCTGGTTCTGAAGAAAACAGTCATATTTCTGCAGCATGGCTAGTAGCAGCATACAAGCAAAGCCAACAGGGTTTCAGGGTTTTAGCTTTCAGTAGACAGGTAAACACCAGCAAGACATTGTTTCAGCCCTTTTTGACCTACATCAGCTGACCAGAATGCAGCATCACCAATACTGGCATTTGACTGTATCAACCCAACCCACGAAACGAACCACTTATTAAATGTGTCTTTAGATCTGGTCAGGAAAGCTGTGAAATGACATGGAATGAACTTGAGCTGCATTATTCAACATAGCTTCTCCTAAGGGAAAAGCCTCAGTGTTATTTCCTTCAGAATTAACAATGTCTTAAACGTAGATAGTGTCATGTTTTATTTCTGCACAGCACCAGCTTTTTCTACAAAAATGAGTTGTAATGCCTTGTTTCAAGGCTCTGCTGGGTTTAGCTGGTGTGACTTGGGTTTAGGGGGTGGAAACAGAGGGCCTCCCTGGCTGCTGTCCATCATTACCCTTCCCTGCAGGGCTGACTCAAGAGAAAGAGGAAGGTGAGCCCAGCAGAGATGACAGCACAACACTCAGATTTCATGTTGCTCTGTGTTGCTGCATTCACCTATGTACAAAGACTAGGAAATTGCATTGGTTCTGCACACCAGCAATGATACTAATCATGATTAGGCTGAAAGACAGGTAATATGACAATTGGAAATTCTTAGCATCCAGAATGATAAACTATTTGGTTTTTCCACCAACTGCAAATAAGTGTAACCTACTGGGTCTACAGATAATTTAAAGTTATCCCAACCAGCCTGAGAAAAGCAGCCTATACCTTAAAACCCCCCAGCTATTCATCTGAAGATCCTCAGCTTGCAAGTGCTGCAGTAGAGGAGATATTTCAATGAAGAAGGGAGCAGAAAAGAATTGGGCTCCAGCATTCCATTAAGGAGCGGTCTCCTCACTCCTCCCTAATTCCTGGTGGTAAGCACAGGTGCCAGCCTGTCCCACACCCCTTCTAGGGATCCTGTCATACCTCAGAGCAGCCCAACAGCATGTGATGAGTATCACGCCACACTCAAAAAGAAAGTAAACTTGTTCCCATTCAGAGCAGTTCTGCTTCTGCTCATATGTTCCTGAATACACCATAAAAACCTGACACAAGCCCTGTTGCCTGGGGACACTACAGATCATCTGTGCATTCCATAAGAGAGAGCACAGAAAGCTACAGCTGCAAACCTATGGTTCTGCGAGCAACTTAAGAAAACCCCAACCACCTATATTATACACAAAACAACACTACCTGGGGGATAGTTTCTCCACCTACTAGTTCCAGATGTAAGCTATTTACAGCGGCTATTGGTAGATGCTGATCATTCTCAAACAGCAGAAACCAAACCATACCCAACCCACCCCACCCCATAATCACGTCTTAAGATAACTTTTTGTAAAAATGTTATAGCACCCATTAGCACATCAGCTTCTCAGTCATCACTATTACAGTTTTTAAAACTGTAAGAGCAGCTAAAGAGCAGTAACAGGCATATTTAATCACCTTGTTTTCCTTACCTTCCACCCTGCAAAACAGTGAAACCCAAATGCTAAGTGAGCTGCCCAACATCACAGCACTGAAGCTGAAGAAAGGATGCTGGATTTTCTTGTTCCCAAACACGTATCCTCCCACATGTCCCATCACTTTCACTAGCTCAAACATACAGGATGTGAGAAACAGCACACATGAGCAGATGGAGGAGTGCCCAAAGGCCTCCTACAGAACAATACACAAAACCCTACCGTGTTTGGTATCACACCACCTCATCAGTAATTTACTGAGCTTGCAAAAATTGTTGTGTTTTTTCTTGTTGTTTTTGTTTGATTGATTTTTTTACAGAGAGGAAATGAACACAAAAAAGCTCACTCACATTGTTTGTTAGCTACCGTGCAGAGTAAACCCCCTGACATGTTCCGGCAAATGAACTCTGGAGATGTTGCCTCTCAGTCCCATGTAGTATAGCTCTAATTATTTATTATGAATATGAATTCATCCTTCACTGTTGAATAAAAGCTTCTATGCAATCAAAAAGCACAAATTTTTTGAAATGAGATGGATACCCCTGTGGACCTGTGCCACTGAAACAGAAATACCACAAGCATCGGATTTTTCTGGCAAATGCTACCTCTTTCCTGCAGACTCATTTCTGCTACTCATATTCACTCCTACTCTCTTTAAATGTCTTAAAATGAGCTATAATCATTTTTACTCTAACACTGATTTTCAAGGATACAGAGTAATCTCCTTACTATGCTGAAATGCTCTGATGCAGTTTTACCGTTTGAGAACCTCACAGTACCCTGACAAACATACGAGCGAACGTACACAATGGATAAGACGGGAAGATACAGAAGGGCTGGTGCACGACTTGACCCCATGCCCATCTCAAATGGTAAGTGTGGGGCACAGTCCTTTCACCTGCCCTGCAGCACTCAGCCCCATGGACTCAGCCCTTGCCCTGTTTTTCTTGCTTCAGTTTGAACCACTCAACAAACATAACTTTATTCTCTGCACCATTCACCTTACAGGTGGATGTGGCTCACTGGTCCCACTGCCAGCTCTGCCCTTTCTCCGCCAATTGGCTGAAGCTGGGTGCTACTGCTGGGACCTGGCTCCCTCGTGCCCTCCTGCCACCCAGAAAAATGGCTGTGCAACCTCTAAGACATCAAGAGTGTCCCTGGCCTGGAGCAAAGCCAAGCTCCAGGGCCAGGCAGCATCACTACCATACCCTGCGGCCTCTCTTAGCATGCGAACCTATTACAGCAATGCTGATAATGCAGGCCAGTAAATCATGCGGATAAGTGATCAGACAAAAGAAAAAAAGATGCTAAAACCTGAGCCTTTACCTTTTTGTCAAGTACTCTTTATGTCAAGTATTGCCAGCCTTCCCCCATGCAGGGAGAGCAGGCAGTGGAAGCTGGACAAGAGCTCAGCTGTTAAACAAGCAATCAATCTTCCCCTCCTTCCTCCCCAAACCTCAGGGCTCTGTCCTTCTCCAGTATTTAATTTAAAGCCAGCTCTTGGCTTCAAACCTGCAGAAAAGCACCACTGTGAAAATACATTATGAGTGCCAAACTTCTGTGTAGGATATGCCACCATTTTTAACTTTTTTTTTTTTATTATTTAATCCTGCCTGCAGGAAAGGGGAGCAAGGTAGTATGGGACTAAAGAGCAAAAAGGAATTTCTCTCTGTGGCGTTTCTGAAATACCCATTAAAGCATCGTCAACGCTAAAAGGCATTTAACAGGTACCTTAAATTGCACTGCTCCATCAAGTACTACAACTTAAGAAAACCTGCCTCCCCCATGCTGCGTGTGAAATTTACTTTAGATAGGACACTTCCCCAACGTTCCCCCACCCCCCAGTGTAGGCAAGATGTTGCTTCTTTATAACCACACCTGAAAAGTATTTAACCAAGACTGGTATTTTTGCTTGAATATTTCTCCTTGACGGCAACTACGTAACTCTTTTTTACACTCTCCTCCGTCACCCTTTTCTGCCCTCCCACCTACCCAGCAGGTTTGCACACTATCTAACACAACCTGCTTCCATTGCACCCAGCCAGCTATCCAGTCCATCTCGACAGAAACCAACTACCACCTCTTGAAACACTGCTGAGAGCAATGACAGAAACCTGTTCACACTAGGCTGGTTACAGGGGAAATTAAACAAACAGCAGACCAGTCCACAGGGCAAAAGAAAATCAGTTTCAGAAGAAAATGAGTTTCAAAGAGCTTTTAACTAGTTGGACGAGGAGAGATTAGACGGGGAGGGATTAAGACTTTTGTTTTCCCTGCTGCAAAAAAGTTTACACTGAGAGGAGCGAGTGGGCACTTCAATGAACAAAATACACAGGCAAAATCTACTCCAGAGACGCGGGGTAAAAAAACTACAGCAAGCTGTGCCCAAGCCAGGACATCACTAACACCGCCGGGCTACCAGCAGCCCTCAATGAGATGCACCAAACGAAGTTATTTAATGCCGTACCTCGACTGAGCAGCCATCGCGGGGTTAATCTGCCGAGCGTCCTCTTTCCATGAGCTCTCCCCTTAGCCGCCCGGGCTCTACCCCGCTGCCCGAGCCCACAGTTCCATGTGCCGGCCGCCTGCCCGGCGCTGCGCGGTAACCCCGCGCCGCGGCTCCCCCTGCCCGGGCGGCCGGCGTAGGGCTGGCGCTCGCTCATTTTGATCGACATCCGGGCGCACGGCCCTCCCCCCGGCCGACAGGGAGGGCGGAGAAGGCCCACCTGGCCCACCTGGGGCTGGCCTGCAGCCGGCGGGGGCAGGAGCCGGGAGGCAGCGGGGCAGCGGCTCCACTGGGTGTCCTCCCCACTGCCCGGGGCGGCGGGTCCGCCGGCGGCGTCGTCCCCGTGGCCGGCCCGCGGCCGCCTCCCCCCGCCAAGGAGAGCGCTCGTGGTACGGCCCGGCAGGGCCGGGAGAGAGGGGCCGAGATGGCCGGGCCTTGCCTTGCCCGGGACCGTGCCAGGGGCGCTGCCGGGTGGGAGCGGGGGAAAAAGGGACGGGGAGAGCGGGAGGTGCGGAGGCTGTTTCGCTTAGCGGCTCTCCGCCCTCTGCCACAGCGCGGGGGCTCTGGAGAGTGATGGTGGGAATTTTTTTTTTTAGATATGTGTATGTGTGTGGTATTTGGTGGTGGTTTTCTTGCCTTTCTGTTTGTTTTTTTGGTTTGGGGGAATTTTTGTTGTTATGTGTTGGTGTTTTTTGTTTGTTTTGTTTGATTTCTTGGGGGCCGTGCTGCTTATTGTTTCGTTGGGTTTTTTTGGGGGGTGGCGTTTTTGGTTTTGTTTGCTTTGTTTCTTTGGGGTTTTTTTTTGGGGGGAGAGGGTTGTGGGATTTTTTGTTTGTTCTTTGTTTGGGGGGGTTGTTTTTCTTGAGGGTTTTTTGTGTTGGTTTTTTGTTCGTTTTTATTGTTGTTGGTAGAGCTTTTTTATTATTATTTGATTTGGAGGTATTTGTTTGTTCTTTTAGATAAGGAGAACTAAATGCTGTTTCAACATTTCAAAAGTTTTCAAAACATTTTTCGAAACACATACAGAACCCGGCTGAAAAACGTGAATCCCACGTGTCAGCAGAGATGTAGTAAAAGAAAGCTCGAGTGTGATACTTAGCTTGCAGGTGCCTCATAACTTGGAGTTGTGCGCTAAGAAACCTTTAAGAAAAAGTTTGTTGTGCATTTATGTGCGTATGTAGAGTTTGCTATGCAATAGAAATTGGGCTCTGGTCCTGACTGCGGTTTGCAGACTCACTTGGAAAGCAGCAATACTTGTCCTTTGCACTGGGTGTTTCTTGGCATCACTGTCAAAACAAACTACTCCTGCAGCTACTTTCAACCAGGAATTTACAAAGCATTCAGCAGTTAAAATACATTTATCTGAGATCACTTCAACTTTTCTCACAAACTATACGTGGCTAAGGTTTCTACCAACCCTGCAACAACATTATGTTACTCCTAATTTTCTGGTTTAAAGCGCAACTTGTGTTAAAGTATTCAGCAGATACCAAAAGAAGAGTTTCCTTGTGATTATTTTTTATTCCAGATAACCTGTATAGAAATCTCCATTCTGAGCTATCTTCTTTACGAAGATTAAATAAAATTAATATCAGCCTTTTTAGGCAGAACAAATGATAATGAAAAAAAGTGTATTTTACAGACTTGCCACAACACCTGAGCTTTCTCCAGGAAAAAAATGGTTTGCTTTCATATGAAGTTTCTAGCAGTTTTCCCCCTGCTCCCCTTGAAAAACACTTGCTCAAGTGCTTCTTGATTGATCCAAGGTATTACCACCAGGCTGCTCCAAGATGAGGCACCTGTGCTGGAAGCGCAGAGGCTTTCCAAGAGAACCAAGGGCTGCCTACCATCAGTTTCTTCAAAGATACAGCAGAAACCGCTGTTGAGACTCTGAAGAGATTGCAAACCTGTAGGTAAATCAAAAGTTTGGCCAAATAAAACTTTGGCATAGGAACCAATGGGAGGGTAAAGACAATCACCCTGGGAAATCCTGCCTTTGTCAATCATTTGATACCTGAACTTTACTTAAACCACCTAAATCTTTATATATGGTATTTTTTACCTAGTGGTCTTTTTCCCTTCCACCAATTGGTGTCATGCTGAGTTTGGTTTAACAGTGAATTAAAAAGTGGATTAGTATCAACTATTAAAAAAGATTAACAAAGTCATCATAACCTCATATTACACATATCCCCTGAAAGGAGCTTCTAAGTAAAATCAATAAGCAAAGCACTGGAAACCTTTGTGCAAAAAATCATACAGCAAAGGTAGGAAATATTGAGATTCTGCCAACTACTGAAAGACAGGAAAAACAGTATCAGGAATCAAAGCAGGAAAGGGCTGGGAGACTAGGACACTAGGACTAGACTTCCCCAGTGCTACTCAAAGTGATACAACAACATTCTCCTGCTGAGTTGCATGGCTTTTTTGCACTCCTTTCCCAGGATGATATCTTCAGAGAAAAGAAAGGCATCTCACGTTGCTGAAGATAAAAAAAGAACTTTAAAATAAATGAAAACTGAACATTCTCTCTGTCAAAGCTTAAACAAGGAAGATAATGAACTGAACAATATTGTTCAGATTTTCTAAAGCATACCAACAATTCCACTCACCAGGGTTTTCCAAAGAGCCAAGTCTTTGGAGTCTACATTCCCTGACAGAGATAAGCAACAGTTCCTGAGCTGTGCTGGCAACTACTTTCCACTTTTAAGGAAGGAGATGAGGGGCAGATCATTGAACATCCTACCCAGAATAAAGCCTCAGAAATCCTGTGCCACAAACATTTAATGTGAAGCAAATTGCATTCTGGTGCGTTTTTTAAAGTTTCAGGCACACATGCAAGGAACAGGTGAGATGCCTCACTTTTCCTGCCTCTGGTTTCTGCTCACTAGCTGCTCTAAGAACAAAATTATGCCATTTTTGTTGGAAAATTTGATGAAAATTTGGTAAGTTCCTGAGGAACATTTCAAGTCTGAAAAATCAGTGTTCCCTCGAAGAAGGTTTTCTGTCAGAATATGTACTGTAACCTGTTGACTCCTTCCTCATGTTTGTTGCCAAAATTAGCAGACTGCAGCTTTTTTTTCCTGATTTACTGATCAGGGATACAACTGATCAGGGATACAAGTTTCCCCGTTTCAGTCAGTGTCTTTTTAAGATGTATTGCAAATCAAGGAAAATGTTTCCACTAAGTAAAATACAAACAAAACAAATCAATAAAATAAGCTCTTTGAACTCTTTAGCTCATCACAAGCTCAAAATGCCCTCCTGAGCTGTCCCCTCCTTAAAAACCTATCAGGAGAAGCTTCCTACAAGTGATCATAATTCCAAACTGTATTTAAGCTGTCTATGAGCATTTTAATATTAGAAAATCCATTCTTACCTGCCTATGCATTGGAGGAGAAGGAATTTCTCCAGACATGGAGCTTGTGATCTAAACACTTCATAGAAATGCAAATCCAACCAAACAAAGGCAACCTGGATGCCATTGTTTCTTAATTCTGAATTCCTGAAAATGCCAGACTACTGACCTCAGGCATCACTGCTAAAGCACAGGCTGTGGGCACATTATGTGCATATTAAGGACACAGCATCCTCTCACCTGCCTGTACACCTACCTGCATCTGGGCATGTTGACCAAAAGAAAGCCAAGTAGTACAAGGAGGAGGGAAGGAGGAGGAAGACTCAGAATTTTCAAGCATAAAGCAACATTATTTCCCGATAAGGTGCAGATGCTGATACATTGCCAAACCCTGTGCCTACAGTATCTGCAGCAGGGCCTGGCACTCCTACAGAAGCAAGATTTGTATCTCTTTGCTCACCACTAACAGTGCTGGCAATACCCGAGTGTTGGTTCAGGAAGGGGAACGCGACATCCCTTAGGGAAAAAAAATGAAACATGACATACTAATAAACGTACGATAATCCAATAAGCTTGTGGGACAAACCACAGAAGATTATGGTATTGTGGAACAATTAATCAAGCTAGAGTACCAATGAAGAAGAAATACATACCAAGCAATACTAAAATCATTACATGAAATACATGGGCAGTAGGCTTTCCTGAAACGTATTTGCTCTAAAGTAAAAGACATATTTCTTTATGCACAGAAATAGGTCAAATTCATGCTCTTACCAAGCTTTTCAAAACATCTCATTGCACTGTACTGCATCAGGTTTTTAAACAGACACACCTCCTTACCTTCACTATTGAAGAGTCACTGCTGTCCTTTAATTACAGTGTATTCTCCCAGCTCTGTTGACAAAAAAAATCTATCTTACCACTGCCATTTATTGCCATTGATGAGTCCTTCAAACTGGGAGGTGAAAAGGGTCCAATGGATATTGTGTTTCCTGCCCTCAGGCAGCCATGGGTAGCCTTTTCATTTGCAAAGTGGACTTCTGCACCAGATCACAAGCTCCATAAAGGCTCTGCTGCCCCAGACCAGTAGAACAATCCCAAACCTCTCAGCCTCACCAACCTCCCTGTCTGGCTGTCAGCACTCTACAGAAAAGGCTACATGACTGCAGACTTGCTTGTGTTCTGCCAATCCCAAACCCCACACAAACCTGTCAAGGGCTTGATTCTTGTGTCTTTCCCTGCCAGTAGGCAAGGAACTAGCCACACAACAAATACATTTGTTGCTCCCATGAAGCAGGGGCTCAAACCATAAAGCACAGGATTCCAAGGGCTCCATGTATTCAGAGAAAAGGAGTTAGTTAATCTTATCCTCAGACTCCTGTCTCCCAAGTACAGTTGGAATGCGAGCAAAATTCAGAAACCCATACAGGCAAGCACATACAAAAACCAGTTCTACAAGGTAAATGAAGCTGTGAGCACTGACTAGTCTGAAGAAGGCTGAGTCAGCAAAACTCTGTTAACCCTGATTCAGCAAAGCACTTCTCTATTGGCTTGTTTTATTGCACCTCCTTAACCTTAGCAGTTTCCAGAACCAAAGCTGACTGCTAGAGAAGCACATCCTTGCTGGGCAAATCCTGAAAAGCACTTAGATTTTACTGAGTCTAATCCACACAGTGTAGCTCCAGCAAGGCTAGAGGAGCTGCAG